GGTGAGCACTAGTCCTGGATAATTACGCTGCATCCCAGCCTCTGGCCACAGCCATGCTTATTTTAGCCTTGTGCCAAAGCTAACTCTGTGCCTGAGACGCACAGTGAAAGGAACTGAGAGTATCGGAGGCACACGCCTGCCAGTGACCGCCGCCAGTGTGGCAGAGGATGGGGGTGCATTCCAGGCCAGCAGGGCAAGCTTGGTTATGGGGCCTCAGGCATCAGGGGGAGAGTGCCCAGAGAGCGTGCGGGGGCCTTGGCACCACTGGCACGCAGCTGTCCTAGCTGTGGCAGATAAGAAGCACTTTATCCAAATGGACACCTTCGTGTTTATTCAGACGGTCTCTGGGATTAAATAAGGGAATGACAGCCACGTGTGCTATGAACACAGAAGGCTCAGATTTGAAGCTGTCTTGCTCTCCCCAGCCTTCTCCCCTCTCTTCCCTTCCCTCTTGTACCACCTGTGTCTCAGGTGGTAAACTTTCCTTTCCCTTGGGCCCAGAGCCCTGTCGTGGTGCCAGGGAGAGTCAGGTGTGGTGTCAGTCGGTGCAGTGGGACTCTGCTGGAAGCAGTTCCCCTGGGCGCGCCGGGGGTGGGGGTGGCAGGAGACCTGCTTTGGGGCCTTACTTGTGCCTTCTCACTCCATCCTCAACCTCCCAGGCCCAGCTTGTGAAGAAGGCCTGCTGGCAAAAAGGGAGCGCGTGGCTGTGGACAAAGCGGGCTGCTCCCTTGCTGTCCACAGGCAGCTGTGTGCGTGAAGCCCTGTTTGGGTACTGGGTGCAGCAGCTGGACCAAAGCCTGTGTTCTGGGGGAAGTAAATCTTCGTGAGCACGTGCACAGAGCTGTGGAACAGCAGGTTGGCAGGGGTCAAGGTGTCTGCAGCTGCCACTTTGGCTGCAATTTAAAATCAAGTGTTCCGGGTGTGAGCAAGGAGGGTGCCTCTGGGGTGGTAGTGAGACGGGAGCAACAGCCTTCCTTCTCTGAGCACTAACTATATGCCAGGCACCCTAACTGCGTAACTACTCACCTGCTAGCTTGGTGAGTCCTCCGCAGGGTCCCTGTTTTGTAGCTCTATCAGAGAAGTAACTCTCCAGAGGTCAGCCAGCTCATGAGTGGTAGAGCTGAGACTCCAACCCAGACCTGTGTGACCCAGACGGTTGTCTGCTGCTCCTTGGTCACGAGGAGCCACTTTGTCACCTGGCAAAGCACCAGAGCGCCAGCAGAAGCTGTTGTAACCGTGGACCTGGTCCCTGAGTGAGGGTGGGTGGCACCACCTGTATTCTCTGCCAGGGAGAAGGGCTGGATTGTTCTGTGTTCCGGACAGGGCCTTGCTCACATGCTGCTGAGCATGCCAGCCTCCGAGGACAAGGATGAATCACCGCAGAGAGGGCCAGCTTAGTCAGCACCCCACGCTGGTGTCTGAGCGCCGCCAGAGACGTCCCGCCGCCTCCCCCCCGCTCCTTGCTGACCTCCCGCTCAGGGCTGCCAAGTGCAGTGGCACAGGTTGTGCCTGGTGCAAGGACACCTGGCTGAGGGGTGAGTTGGAGTGAAGTACGCACTGCTTGCCAAGTTGTGAGTCTGGCGGCGTGCTGTACCTGTCTGGAGGATTCTGCAGCTGTGCTTTTGCCTCATCAGTGCCAAGGCACTGGAGCAGAAGCCCCTTGGGTCAGGAGCCCTAGAGGTTCACACAGGGGTGTTAAGTGGGCAGGTCACCTTGTGGGAGGCCAGCTCCATCCCTGCGTTGGGCCCTCTGCCTCTGTGGGGACCCGCCTGCAAAGTAGGCAGGAGGAGCAGACACCTGGAGCCAGCGTGCCGCCCTGACACCACGCCGGGCAATGGGGGCTCTGTGCAGAGCAGCCGCACAGGAAAGGGGTCTGGGCTCCCTGTGGGCCTGAGGGGCTGCTTCAGCTCTGCCCTGTGCCGTGTGCTTTGGGCAGCTCCCTTCCTTCACGTGTGGTACAGACTAGCTGACTTGAGCACCCACATCCTAGTTCTCGTTCTGAGCTTGGTTTTCTGACATACGGACTCTGTGGAGGCCAGTCATAATGATGGTGATGACAGCCAGCATGTCTGTGGGCTTCCTGTGGCTCTAAGTGAAGTATGTGTGTAGGCCTCTTATCCTAATGTCCATGGCAGGAAACCAAGACCAGGAGTTAACTGCTAGTCATCATATAGTTAGGAAGCAGTGGCACCTGGGTCTACCTGGACTGTCTGGAGAGGCCCTTAGCGATGTGCTGGTCCAGCTGCCTGTCTCCTGCTTCACACATATAGAAACAGGCCCAGAGAGTGCAAGTGACACCTGGAGGTCACCTGGCAGCGGTAGACTAGAACTCAGGTCCCATTGACCCACCCTGAACAACTGAACACGCCCCCAGATGAGGGGTGTGGGCAGGGAAGACGTGGGTGTGTGGCCCAGCGCCACGGCCCTCAAGTGAGGCTTTTTGCCCTCCATGGGTAATGTGTGTGTTTCACATTCTGTCTTTGTCTATCTCCCTCCCTCCCCCACGGCACACACGAAGCCCAGCACCCAGGGGACTCATCTTTTGGGTCAGAGCATTGCTAGGCAGTGTTGATTTCCTGGGGTGCCGATGAAGGCTTTCTTGCAGATGTTCTGCCCTTACTGGCTCTGAGCCTGGAGCACCTCTGCACATCTCAGTTTGTTCATCCCAAGTGGGCTTGTATACATACTCTTGTGGTGCTGGGAAAACTGTCATCAGTATCACTTGTTGGGAGGAATCTAGTTAAAGTGATCAGGAGGATGGTTTCTAGCAGCATCCTGCCTGGATTCTAAACCCAGTTGGGCTGCTTCCTGCAACATGACCTTGGCGAAATCATTTCACTTTGGGAACCTCTATGCCTCATCTGAAAAGATGTGGTAACTTCTACCTTACAAGATATCCTGGGTATTAAAAGAAATGATGAGTATAATTCATCCGGCCCAGTGCTGGCACCTAGTAGGTGCTCAGTAAATGAAATTCTAGGTAGCGTTTATTGAGTATGTGCACAGTGCTGGACATAGTCATCTGATAGCTGCCGCTCTCTTATTAATGACCCATTTGTATCAGCGAGCTCGTGTGCCTCTTCCCAGTCAGGCAGCCGACCAGACCCACCACCTCATGTGCCCGTAGTGCAAGTAGAGGCCTACGGAGGAGAAGTTTCTTGCCCAAGGTGACACTGAGCTGGCTTCTCAGTGCCCTGTGTGATTCTGTCCAGCTAAATCTGCTGCAGAGACACTGTTCCATCTCAGTCTCCCAGAGGGACACCTTTCCTTCTGCCCCTCCCCTCCTCATTGCTCTCCAGAGCCAGCAGCGCCTCAGAGCTTCAGGCTTGTGATGGCTTGGTTAAGCACTCGGCCGTTAAACGTTCATCTCTTACAATTTCAATCCAATTCCTATAAGTTTATTGGCAAGACGGGGTGTATTAGAGCTGCCAAATTTAATTTATCAAGTCCGTGTGTCTGGGATGCAGTTTCTCAGCAGTAATGGGAGAAGAGAGGTTTTATTCGTTTTCATTTTGAATGACTGTCTGTTCCTGATCCCATTACAGCCCTTGACTTAATGGCTGCTGTCCCTGTCTGCTGCAGGAATGGCATCAGCTTGCGTGGCTTCCTGGACTGGCCAGGAGCTCGTCTGTCTGCGTCTCTCCTAGGTGTCTTCTTCCCAAGATGCATCCCCCATCTGTCTGCCCTGTGCAGCAGGTCCCTGCTTTATCTTTATTTGCCAGATCTTGGGAGTCTGAGGCTTTTGCTGATAGCCTGCAATGCTACTTAGTGACCTCCGGGAAGTCACTTTCCCACTTCCTCGGGAAGCTGCTCTGAAATGAGGGTCACACTAGAGGGCCTGAATGGTGAGGGCTGGTTTAGGCTTAATGCAGGTCGCAGATGATGGCCCCAACACACCCCTGGTCTTAGGCATCAAACTAGGGGATCCACTTGCTGAGCATGAGAGTCATTGAATCACCACCTATCATGGGCTGCAGATCTCCTGGGTCAGGAGTGGCTGCTGCAGCCACTGTGATTGAGGGATCTTAAGACCCTGAAACGCATTTCTCTCTGTGGCTGGGGGATGGGGACACCTGTCATACAGGAGTTTGATTGCAATTCTACCTGAGGCTTCTGGTTTCTCTAAGCATTGGGCTGGCAGAAGGCAGGGTTTTAGGACACCTGGGTTTGCCTTCTGTTTGCCAGCTGTGTGACCTTGGGCAAGTCATTTCCTCTCTCTGAACCTCAGTTGTCCATAGGAGAATGAAAATTAATTCCTTTAGTCTACAAAGAATTAGCTGTATTCTCGGCACTGTGCCCCACTTTGGGTGCTGGGCTTTGGAAATAAGCAAAACAGGACTATCTCAGCCCACACTGATTTATATTCTTTTGCGGAGGGGGGGCACTGTAAACATGACAAATAGCTTATTATTTTGAAGGGTGATCAAAATGAAGCAGAGAATGGAGAAAGCTACAGGGAGGTTTCTGCCGTCTACACAAAGTGGTCCCACTAGATGACTGAGAAGGCAGCCTTTGCACAAAGATCGTGGGAGTCCAGTGCACAGAGTGGCGGCACTGTGTGTGAGGAGAGGCGTTCAGACAGGCACCGCAGGGCCGCCAGGAGGCGGGCGTGTGCTTGGCCTGTGTGAAGAGCAGAGGCCTGTGTGGCTGGCATTGAGAGAATAGAGGGGATCAGAGGTGGGGCTGGCGGGGTGGAGGGTGGCCAGGTTTGGATTCTCCAGCTTAGCTACACTGATGTATTTACTGGGAGCTTTGCAGAAATACTGATGCCTGGGCCTCAGTTAACTGGCCTAGACAGCTGTGGAATGATCCCTCTAGAATGAGGCGTCTTAGGCCATAAGCATCACCCCACGACCAGACTGTTCAGCCTGCTGTAAGGTGTAAATGAAGCGGTTCACTTAGTAGAAACTTCCTTACACTGCACAGGGCTGGTCTCAGTACTCGTGTTGGGGGGGGGGCGTTTCCTCCACCCTCTGACGGAGTGTTTTGTGGCTCCGCAGGCAGCGAGGCATCTGGGGTAGGTGTCATGGGGAAGCGTTACTTCTGCGACTACTGTGATCGCTCCTTCCAGGACAACCTCCATAACCGCAAGAAGCATTTGAATGGACTGCAGCACCTCAAAGCCAAGAAGGTCTGGTACGACATGTTCCGAGGTAGGTGTCTGCTGGCCAGGCTGGTAGAACTCGGCTCTCCCATCTGCTTGGCACACCAGGAAGCACAGTGGGCCAGCCACACTGGGCTCCAGGCTGGGCTCTCTGAAGAGTGAAAGGTCGGAGTCTGGGCCACAGGCCTGTAGGGGTAGATGGGTCCTCAGACCGGAAGGCTCCTTTCCCTAGGAATCTTGGCCAGGGCTCCTTTCTCCAGGTGACATTCCAGGCCCTGGAATGCTGTAGCCAGGAAGAGGGCCTATTGAGGAGGTGCTATTTGAGCCAACAGCTGAAAGACAGGGAAAAGCCAGCCATACCATTCTGTGCAAAGGACATTTGTGGCAGGCAGACAGGCGTGAGCATAGCATGGAGTACTGGGAGCCCAAGGGAGAGGGTGTGACAGGACACGGTGGGAGACGAGGATGGAGGGCAGACGCTGGAGAGAGCAGAGGGACCAGGTCGAGAGCGCCTTGGGAGGCTGCACTACAGAGACTGGTCAACCTAAAGGCAGAGGGCAGCCTTAGAAGGGCTTTAGGCAGCAGCCAGCATGGCCGGAGCTGAATCTGACTGTGGGGACTGACTGCCACGTGAGCAGTGGGGTGCAGCAACTGGCTGCTGCAGGACTGGCGGCTGGCTGAGTAATAGCTGCTTGCGGGAGGGGCTTCCAGGACAGGCTGGAGCCAGTGGCTAGGGGAGTGAGCTCAGGGTGCAAGCACCAGCACAGGGCATGGCACCTCGGAACCTCTCTGGAGGGAGCTGCTGCTGTGCCATGCTCGACAACAGCATCAGCAAACAAGATGCAGGAGGACGTGCCAGCCAGGAGCCTCTCCTAGGGAGAGGGAGGCTGGCAGTGGGGCAGAAGCAGGGTGTGGGCCAGGCTCCATGAGCTGGCGACAGGGCCTGGACCCAGGAAGGAAGGGGAAGGGAGGGCTGCATGCAAGGTGCCTCCCTGGTTTGCATCTGCTTTTCTCAGTATTTCTCGAAGGCTGTGGGTCTCAGCTCCAAGTTAGTGTCATCTGGAGACTTTAAATAAAAAACTGATTCCCTTTTCTATCCCCAGAGGCAGGTTTGGCATGGATTCTCTAGACATGGTATTTTTTTTTTTTTAGATTTTATTTCTGCATACAGAAATGGGGTACAGACCAGAGGTACAGGGGCGACCAGAGGATTCACCAGCAACAGAGTGGGGAGCAGAACAGGCAGATTGACGAATTACACTGCTGAGGGGAGCAGTGTTTGAGACAGGAGAGGTCTGCACGCCATGTGGGTCACCTCCTGGGCAGGGATCGAACTTGCTCTGAAGTGGCCACAGCTTGGCTTAGCTTGCTAGTGCAGCATTCCGATCTACTGCACCACCAGGGAGGGTCTGGGCATGGTATTTTTTTTTTTAAAGATTTATTTATTTATGCATACAGAGCTGGGGTACAGGCCAGAGGGGCAGGGGAGGTGAGAGGCTTCACCAGAGACAGAGTGGGGAGCAGAACAGGCAGATAGACGAAGTACACTGCTGAGGGGAGCCGCGGGTGGTTCAGGAGAGGTCTGCCGTGCCATGTGGGTCACCTCTGGGGCCAGGGATTGAACTCGCACCTAAGTGGCTGCCATTAGCTTGCAGTGCTGCGTCCTAACCCACTGTGCCACCAGGGAGGGCCCCAGGCATGATATTTTTAAAGCTCTCTCCCCATTTTATATGAAGAATCTAAGGCTTGGTGACAGACGGTGGCCAGGCCATTGAGCAGGCCGGGTGTGAGTGGGGGTAAAGAGGGGTTCAGTAGTGGAGGGGTCTCCTGGGTGTCTAGGAGGCCTCTGACTTTGGTGTCAGGCATAGAACTGGGCCTCAGGATCACCTTGGGATTTACTCGTAGTCCTTGATTCTCCAGCAAGAACGCTGGGTCTCTGGCCCAGGACTAATCAGCAGAGGGTTACAGAAAGGGAAAGAAAGTGGGCCATGGGCACCATTCCCAGAACTCCGCATTCCCAGAACTCTGCATTCCCAGAACTCTGCATTCCCAGAGTTCTCTCACAGCCCAGCTCTGTCCGGTGCTTGGAACTCTGTGAGGGAGGCTGGGTAGGCTGCGGATGTCCACTTTAGGTGGTGACTGAGATCTAGAGAAGTGGATCATCTCACTTGGAAGCCCCAAACTGACATAGGAACTCTTTCTGCTTCCTTAGAGGCTTCTCAGGCCCTAGTTCTTCTACATAGCCACGCGGCACAGACAGTCCCCAGCCTGAGCTAGTACTCAGTGCTGTTCTGCTCCCAGCTCCATGTCCCTGGTCAAGTCCATAGCCCTCAGGAGGGCTGATGGTCTGTCTACCACGGTCAGGAAGAGCTCAGGCCCTGACCTAGGTTGCCTGGATGTTAGTCCCAAGGCATCACTTAGAGCAGCATGGCCCTAATTTTGTCATGTGTAAAACAGCTATAGCAATAGTATCCACCTCCCACGATGCGAGGCTCATTAATCTCTTAAAAACTGTGGGACACTTGGGCCCTCCCTGGTGGCACAGCAGGTTGGCGTGCTGCACTGCGAAGCTAAGCCAAGTGGTGGCCACTTCAGTGCGAGTTTAATCCCCGCCCCAGAGCTGACCCACACAGCGCAGCAGACCTCTTCTGTCTTGCCCACTGCTCCCCTCAGCAGTATACTTCTTCAGTCTGCCTGTTCTGCTCCCCACTCTCTCTGGTGAATCCTCTCACAGCCTTGGCACCTCTGGCCTGTACCCCAGTTCTGAATGCATAAATAAATAAAAATCTTAAAAAAACAAAACTGTATGACGCTAAGGGTTTAGTAAGAACCTATGGGTTCACAAAGGATTGACCTCAGGCCCTTGATCCCATTCGTTCAGCCAGTGCTCTGAATACTGACTGTGTCTGGCTCAGACAGACGCTGAAGACATAAAAGTGAATAATACCAGGCCCCACTCCTAAGTGACCTTGCACCCAGCTACAACAGTATGTCCTGGGCAGAACCCCATGGCCTCATGCCCTACTGACCTCTCCCCCTGAGTCCAGCCATACCTGCTACTACAGGTACTGCTCCCCATGATGGCGAGCCCCCCCGGCTCTCCTCTCCACTCCCAGCCTGGCCTCCCACCTCGGGACTCACCTTGAGCATCCAGTATCTTGGATGCCTCCCTGATTCCTGCACTGGGCTAGGTCATTTGACTGTATGCTAGCTGTTTACTCCGTTTATACCTGCATGGATTAGTGCGACTGGCTGAAAGGAAGGACCAGGCCTGACTTCACTAAGTCCTCATCCTGGCATGGTGCCTGGCACACAGGACGTGCTCAGTAAATGTTTGTTAGATGAATGACCAAATGAATGAGCAAGTAGACGTGGGGCACCAGGGCAAATGTTCATTGTAAGAGATGAAGCAAGAAGGACCAATAGGGTCACGTGACGAGGAGCCTTGCCTGCCTGTAGAGGAGCACAGCGTTCTTTCTGCAGGGTCTGGGCTGGGGCGGGGCGTCTCACTTCAGAGTCACTGAGGCGCGCGCTCCCACAGATGAGTTAAGGAGAAAGTGGGCTCCACCAGCCCAGTCCTTTTAAAGGTTAGCCGGTGAGTCTCGTGTTCAGAAGTACCGGCCAGAGGCTGAGCAGCCCAGAACGCTTCTCATACTGAGCACACAGCCAGAGCCCTGTCTCAGACTCAAGCTCAGCCTTCCCCCACTCCCGCTAGCCTCAGCTGTCTTCCCCCAGGGCAGCTCCACATGCCCTCTGCAGCCCACCTTCCCGGGAGAAAGCTTGCAGGCTGATCTGACCAGTCCAGACAGATGGACCCCTCTGCATGCTGCTAGCGCCCCCCAACCCCCATGCTCTTCCAGGCCACCCTTGGAGTGAGTCCTGACCCCAGTAGCCTGGCCTCGGTCATGGGAGGTGTTAGGCGCTCACCCAGACACTGGGAGATCAGCAGCCACTTGGGAAAAGGGAGAGGCTTTAGACTCATACTTCAGGGTCAGACGTGGCACTTCCACTTCCTCGCTGCCCTTGAGCAGATCATTTCTCTTTCTGAACCTCCACTTTCCCACTGTGAAATGGGGTGTTAGCATTGTGCCATGGGCTTGTGAGTAGGAAATAAAATTAGAATTGCTCCCACTTGTTGAGCCCCCACTGTGAAGGTTCTCAGCCCTGTCACGCACTCAGGGTACGTGAGGCTGAGGCTGCTCCCTGCCTGAGGCTGACGTCATCATCTCTTTCCTGGCACTTCTGATGTGCCACAGGGTTGAGTACCGTCAACCTCCTCTGCCAAGTGTTTTATTAGCCTGTTAAATTTTCACAGCAGTCCAGGAATGGGAATTCTCCTCCCATTGTACAGATAGAGAAACTGAGACTTGGACAGGTGAAGCAGCTTGCCCATGGCCATGGAGTCCATGTGTACCCGGACTCCAAAGCCCAGAGGCTCTCCTTTACCCCAGCAGCCTCTGGAGAAAGCAGTGGATGAACAGGGCAAGTGTCCAGCCCAGGCCATGCCCTCCCCAGGGCAACGTCAGAGCCTCTGAGTCAGGGTTCCTTCCTCACACTTCTTACTCACCTGCACATTTCACTTATTGGTTCTTTACCAACAAACGTACACACTTAAACCATGAATATATAGTGAAAACAGATTGGGAAATTGAGGTTAAAGGTCATGTCCAGAAGGTTTGCCATGAAGTCCTGCACCTGATGTGAGGAGGGAGCGGACAGCAGTGATTGCAGCCTGGTAGCAGAGTAATGTTGGGGCTTACCAGTGGGTTCCCTAACCCCCAGGGACTTAAACTTTTAATTTTGAAGTAATTATAGATTCCCAGGAAGCAACATAGACAGTATCAGGATTGTGGCACCAGAATTAAAAAAAAAAAATCCCAGGTGATTCCATTGGTGGTCAAATTCAAGAACCTCTGACCTAAATCCTGGTTCTTGCCTTTAGCTGGGTCTGAGTGGAGCGGAAGGGGCTGAAGTCACCCTCCGCCCAGCATCCTCACCTGTGGCTGGCCCTCGCTCGCTCCGTGAAAGGGGAGCGCACAGCTGAGCCTAATGATAGGCGGTGCCGTGTGCAACTGAAGTCTGAACCTGGCCCCTCTCCTCTCGCAGATGCAGCTGCCATCTTGCTGGATGAGCAAAACAAGCGGCCCTGCAGAAAGTTTCTACTGACAGGTAAGGTGCTCCGTGCATTTTGAGTACCCCTGGGACCCGAATGCCCAGTGTGATCTGCTTTGGGCCTCTAGTGCCTCAGCCAGCTGGTCAGTTGGGTTCTTCCTAGGGGCTGTGGCTTAGGTCTTCCTAAGAGCCTGGTCCTCGGCTCTTTAGAGCCAGATTGTGATTTGTATCTGCTCACCCAAAGCAGGCAAGCACTAGGGGATTACAGTACATCCAGGAGACACTTGTAAGTCCAGGACACTGGTCAGCTACATCCAAGCTGCCCTGCACCTCCTCCCAGGAGGCAGGGCTGCAGCCATTACAGGTCTTACGATGCCGAGGTTCAGAATCAGAACCAAGGATGCTAGGTCAATTTGATTGCTTGATACGCAGCTAATGAACATAGTTGAGGGATATTTAAATCTTAGTAAATGAAGGAACCCAAGACAGATGAAAATAAGGGCAGGGTAAGGAAAATAAGACAAAGCCAGAATGATCTGTCTCCTCCCTGCGTGCCTTGATGCCCTGCGTACTCTGAGTTTGACCCTGAGCTTCCTAGGAGCCAAGGCAAAGAGGAAAACCATGAAAATTAACACGTTATGTAAGTAGCACTGAAGAAAGGTACTGCTGTTGGCCCAGGGAAGGTGCTTGAAAGGCCACTCCCTGAGGACCTGCTGCTGCTCGGGGTGGAACCTGCCTGCAGACCAGGGCAGCCCAGACTTTGCTTTGTGAATAAGATACTGGCAGTTATGCTGATTTAGAACACCTCAGTCTCCTGTTATTTTGAGACACATTTTAGCTTCCTTAGTTGGAATTCAGAAAGCCTCCTTGACTTTGGCACCCCCCAGATGAAGCTCTGTGGGAATCAGTTCAGCTGCTCCGGTGAGCAGGACAGCAGGTAGGGCGCCAGGCAGAAGGTAGGGCATGTGCAGTGGCCCAGCCTAGAGAGGAAGCACAGCCCTTTCAGAGGCTCATATGCTGGTTGTTGGGGTTGGGAACTAGGGGCTGGGGGTTAGCGTTTGGGGACAAGAGAAAGCTGAGCAGGCTTGTCAGCCCACTCTGGAAAGGCTTCGGAGGCATTGATCCCTGCCAAGCAAGGGTTGGGCAGGGCGAGACAGACCAGGCTGCTCTGGCTGCTCCTGTAAGCAGAGCCAGAGAGAATTGAGTGTTCCTGCAGGGTTGGGATGCTACTTCTTCGGCCCTCAAACTCCATGACCCCTCATCTTGGTGCCTCGCAGCCCAAAGTGGGAGCCCTTTCTGAGCAGTGAGTAATTCGGTCTTCCTGTTGCAGGCCAGTGTGACTTTGGCTCCAACTGCAGATTTTCCCACATGTCCGAGCGAGACCTACAGGAGCTGAGCATCCAGGTGGAAGGTATGTTTGGGGGGGGGGGTCTGGTGTGGGGAGTGTGTGGGTTGCTGGGGAGAGTCCAGGGCCTGAGGTTGGTGAAGCTCAGACCTGGGCCTCCTCAGCCCCCCTGGCTTGTGGCCACCATGTAGGGTAGGCGGGGGCTGCCTAGAGTGATGGGGTGATGTCAGGAGTTGCCTCCACACCGCCCAGGTGTGGAGAAGGAGCAGGGGAGCTCCCCTCTGTCCCCTGCTGGGTTTAGAGTGACATGTATGGCTTCCTGCCCGGAGCCCTGAGAGTTCACTGCAGCTCCACATGGCCCTGATGCTGGCCTGGCATCCCGCCTTACAACAAGCCCCTCTTAGCACCTGGTGGATCCCCTATACCATGGGGACTAGGTGATGAGGAAAGCACCTCTCTGCCCTCAGGAGTCCTACCACTTGGTGATTCCAGGAAAGAGCAAGTTTAGCTTCCCCTGGAAATTGACCTGTCTGACTTTGAGAAATCCACTTCTCACTTCTCTAATTAGAGACCAGAAAAGCTCCGGCTCAGACGGTCTCAGCAGACTTCCTCATGCAGCCTGGCATTGAACTGACGGGGAAATTGAGGCTAGTGCTCAGGCTCAGTACTGAGGGCCTCGGTGAGTCCCCAGCAAGTTAGAAATCAGTTCTGTGTCTCCCAGGGGCTGCTCACTCTCCCTCTGCCTGGGCAGCGAGTGTCTGTAGCAGCCTGGCCTTTGCGCTCATCCCCGATGGGCCTTGCTCCCCTCTGACTGCTGAGCCCCTCAGAGCAAGGCTCTGCCCTGAGGAACTGGTGGCAGTGGCAGGCCTGGCACAAACACAGGGTTTCCAGGAGCTGCCCCAGGGTGGAAATGAGGCCCCATGGGCCAGGCCAGCAAGTGCTGGCAGCAGCTGTATTTCTGCTTCCTTATCGGCCTTGGGTCCTCGGGGAACAGTTGGCCCATGATGGGGACAGCACAGACCAGGGCCCTGGAGGTGATGTCTGGTGGGGCAGCAGAACCACACCTAGGCTCCCAGCCGGCAGCTTGAAAGTCCCAACTCTGCCACAGAGCTATGACCTTGACACATAGTTTAACTCTGGGAGGAAATAGCTGACCTATCAAATGAAATTGCTTGGGAAGATGACATGAGATGATGCTGGTACAGTGCCAGCTCAGGGCCCAAAGTACACTTTGGCCCACGTCTGACCCCAGGTCCTATCCCCAGACTCCCAGAGACTCTGACCCCGTCACACTCCCACATCCAGCTTGTTTGAATTCCATCTACTGCTTTGTTCTAACTCACTGGGCAAAGGTTTTCCTAGCTCATTTAATGAGAAGAAAAACCAGGAAAGCTGAGGTTCCTTTTCCTGCCCTAGGTCAAGAGATCTTAGCTCTGCCCCCACGCCGCCTCCCTGGCCCTAAGTTTGGCCCATGCCTCTGAGGTCCCCCGAGCCAGGCCCTCCACACACTATCCTGCTCACTCCAGAAGCCTGGGAGACAGCCAGTGTTCCATTTTCATTTGAGTAGCAAGAGTGAGACCCAAAGAAGCAGATGCAGGGATAGTCCAGAGGCCTGTGACACCCTCTTCTGGAAGGTTCTGCTATCCTGTGAGAAGGCAGGGTGGAGGGGGGTGAACATCTCCTCACTTGTCTGTCTCCTCCCCACAGAGGAGAGACGGGCTAGGGAGTGGCCACTGGAGCTTGCCGAGCACCCCGAGGGCCCCCTGGAGGACTGGCTGGAGAAGAGAGCCGAGCGCCTAAGTGCAGCCCCCAGCAGCAGGTACAGGCCCCCGGTGCCCTCCTTTCCAGCCCCTGGAAACAAGGCCCCAGCTGCCTGCCCTGACCCGAAGCTGAGCAATCTCCCCAGGTCCAATAGCCTGTGATACACAGAGCCCCCCACATAGCTTCCCAATGGAGGGACCATGTTGGGGACTCCGGGGTCCCTAAGGTGGCCCGAGATTGAGGGCTATGATCTGAAGGTACCTGTTCCTCGATTTCATCACCTTTCCTCGGTGGCTTCTTCCTTATTGGGGACTCTGTGCTGGCTGAAGGGGTGGCTGAGCTGACTTGACTTTGCAAAACCAAGTTCATTGCCAGAGAAGAGGCCTGACTGGTGACTGAGCCCCAAGGCGCCAGCCAGTAGGCATGGAGAGCTGACCTGCAACAGGGAGCAGTGAAGCTCACCAGTTTTTGTTCCCCCACCTTAGAAATATGACTCAGCTATTAGAGTGGGGCACCTTTCCTCCTGGTCCTATCTGGTGTTTATGGTTTTGGTCATGTGGGCAGCGCTCTGGGACTGGCTATCACCCAGGACCTATATTCTGCACCCAGGCTCCTTCAGCCTTGTGCCCAGGGCTGGACTGTTTGTAGGCTACCCAGAGATCTCTGGGGCTTCCCACTCCCTACTGCACCCCAGCAGAGTCCTTAGAGGGCCCAGCTGCACTCCACACTCATTGGCCCCTTCCCCTCGAGGCTCACCCTTCTGTGCTGATTTGGGGTTCACTGGAGTGAGAGCCACATGCCTGGGCACCTCTGGCTTGTGACAGGGGCTCAGGGACACCCTGTAGCCAGACTGGAGTGAATACTTGGGGGCACCCTGAAGTCCCTGTCTGGGCACAGACAGACATGTCCCACCCAGCACCCTCAAAGCAAGGTATCCATGACAACAAGGCTTCGAGGACTGAGGAAAGAAGTGGGAAGATGGAGGCTGAATGGTGGGCCCAGCATTTCTGGTAGAGGTAGTGACTGATGCTAAGCTGGTATTTGGATCCCAAGTGTGCCTGGCACTCGGACCTGGCCATTTAGGGAGATGGCATCCCCTCTTTGTATCCAAGGAGTCTCAGCAGCTCTGTGAGGTGTGACCGCTGGTGACACACCTGCTCCCCTGCGCAGCACCCAGCTGCTCTTGAGAGAGAGCCAGGCCCCTCTCCAAGCCTAGACCTGATGTTCACGTCTCCAAGCACCTCTCCGGCCGGAGGTCAGAAGTGGCAGTAGAATTGAGCCTGAAACTGGAGCCCCTGGGTTTTTGTTCCCCAGGCCCCTGACCCAAGCTGGCCTCTTCTGCGGGAGTTGCTTTCCCAGCAACCACTGGTTTCCTGCGCCTGCTCTGCCTCCTGAGGGCCCAGAGCCAAAGTGAATCACTCTCGGAGAAAAGGAGGTCTGTCGGCCTCGAGGAAAGGGATGATTAGTAGGGAGCCGCTTATTACTGCTTTTGCATTGCTCCGTGGTCCTCCTCTGCCTCTCCCCCGCGGGCTGGTCTTGCGAGCAGTGACAGCAGGACAGCTCTTTTTCTGGCCTCTGCCCCGCAGCTGCAGCCCTGGCCTGCCAGGGCCTGGGCTCAAGCCCTGGGCTGCCTTACTCAGTTCTGCGTTCCCACCTCAAGGCAGCCCTATGAAAGACCTTAACCCCCCACTTCCCGATGGCCACTGCCCGTCTGCACCTCCCTTTCGTCCTCCACTCAACCCCAACCAGCTTCTGAAACAGGCGCTGGCCAGTTCTGCCCCTGCTTCACCTTCCCTGCCACCTCAGCGGCGCCTGCCTCCACGGCCCTGCCGGGGGACTCCCGCTGCCTCTGCAGCCTGTGGCGGTCACCTTCTCACCTGTTCCATCTGTCTCAGTGTCAGTCCTCTTGGACGCCTGGCAGCTTCTTCGGTGCGGCGGGCGTTTCTGCTTCGGGGGCACCATGTGCATGCTGCTTCTCTGCCTAGAACTGCCTGCTCATCTTCTTGCCTGGCAAAGTCAGACTCATTCTTCAAGCTTTGGCTAAGACAGCTCCTTCCCCGTCCCTCCTGGGCTCTCCCTCACAGCCTTGCTGTCATTTGGCCTGGCATGGGCATGTTGACTGCTTGAAACAGCGTCAGGGGGAGCAGTGCCCCTGTTCTGGGGGCCAATTCCCTGAGGGTTAGTGCCTTGGGCCCCATGTGGGAACTGATCTAGGGGGACCTTGAGTGGCCTCTCTTTCTCTCTCCATATGTTTCTTGCCCTTTACCCCCCGCCTCCCAGTACAGGAGCCTGACAGCTGCTGCCTAGCCCACTACAGCCGCTGAGACCCAGGCAGAGCCCATGAGGTGAGCAGTGAGCCTCAGCCCGGCACACTGTGCCACCCCCAGAGACTGACCTGAGGGATCTGCCACGAGCAGACAGCTGTGGGAGGGAGAGGCTGGCCTCAGACACAAGCTAATCCCCTGGCCGGGCCACGCTGGTCCCCGCTCTGCCATTGTTGGCTCTTCAGATTGTGGCTTTATCCCTCTTAATCTCCCCCTTTGCACCCCTCTCTGGGCCAGCGCTACTGTTCCAGCCCAGGCGGCTCCCTGGGACTTTACCCTCTGATCAGGCCCAGGCTGCGCCTGTCCTCAGCACGCCGTGCCACGCGTGTGCACCCATGTCCAGGTTCTCTGTGCCCAGCTGGAAAGGGGCTTGCAAGGGCTCAGGGGCCTGTGTGCCTAGAGTCTAGGGAATGTGTCTGTGAACGCAAGAGGAGGCCTTTCTTGGCAAGAACCCTCAGGCCACTTCGGGGCACTGAGCTGGCCCTGGACCCCAGAGCTGGGTCCCAGGTGCTGAGGGATCGCCCCATTCTCTCGAGGCTCAAGGGAAGGGGCTCACCAGGATCATCCCTAGGGGAGACTTGCAGTTCCCCAGCCCTGTGGGAAGCCAAGGCTTGGCTAACAGCTGGGGCTCTCCCTTGCAGCAACTGTGGAGCCTCCCCCACTTCTACCCTTCTCTGCGGCTGGTGGAGTTTATGAAATCTCCCCAGTGCCATAAATCATGCCGAGAGCCACTTCCTGCACTTTCCAGCCGGCAGCAGGCAGCTGAGCAGGGGATTTCCCTGTCCTCTCACAGCGGGAGGCCCCAGAGGCTGCCTAGGGCTGCCCAAAGTTCTCAGATGGGTTCTGTGCCATGGGTCAGCACCCAAAAGGGGCCTCTCACCCACCCCGCACCACCACCTCAGAAGCCGGAGGTCTCTCCACACTCCTCATGGAGGGCCCTGGTCTTTCCCTGTCTGGAGAGGACTGACCACTGGGCCCCTAGGCCTGCTGGGAGGTGCCAGGGTGTGACAGGGAGGGGCATGTGTAGGTTACATCCAGCCTCTCACCCCCTGTTGTCACACCCCTTGTCACTCCGCTCTGTGACTGACTGCACATCAGTTGCCTCGTCAGTGAAATGGGGCTCACTGAGAATTCTTGAAGCCTCAAGAACAGGCCATGGCAGTAAGGGCGCTCAGTGTTGCTGCCTGTCTTTCCGCAAACATTCACGGTGGCCTCCCTGCACCAGGCCTAGCTGTGAGCACTCGGGGATACAGTTGGGCCCCACCCTTCCCTTCCTTTCTGGGTTCCACCTCCTGCGAGCTCTGGTTCCACAGGGGAGGCAAGCAAGCTCCAGGTGGGTTCCACCACTCTACAGCCTGGAAAGGGTGCTGCAGGCCTGGAGCAGCAGCGTCGGGCAGCGTCGGGGTACCAAGTTCAGAAGCGTGGGAATTGGAGCAGTTGGTGGGGGGAGATTGTTCTGCACCCCACTGGCTGTCTTAAGCCAGGACTGCCCCAGGCTGGGCTTTTCACAGGCCCTGGGTTCCGAGGAGGGCTCCAGGAACAGCCGACCTTACGGGGGGAGGAGAGTGCGTAGCATGAGAAATGAGGCTTTAAAGACGTTTAGATAATATTTTTTTCTGATTTCAAAGGCTTGCGTGCTAGTAAAACTTTTGAGAAGTATAAAGAGGTAAAAAACCACCCATAATTGCGCCACTCGGATAGAACCACTGTTAACATGTTGCTGTGTCGTCCAAGCTTTTTTATGCATTTATATATGTTATAGATCTTTCAACAAAAATAGTATCATGCTATATACATTATTGTATAAGCTGCTTTTTCTCCCTACTCACACAGTACGTCATGACGGCTTTCCTTGTCAGTGCATGTAAGTCTGCCTTATTTCTTACGCAGGCTGCATAGCATTCTTTGCTGTGGACGTGCATCTGTGTTGAATCGATCCCCCAGAGGTGGACACTTAGGTTGTTTCCATTTTTTGCAGTTCGGTTCCTACCCACACCCCACTGTTTCATTGAACGGTTCCTAGAGGGGGTTGCTGGCTCACAGGGTCTGCATGAGTTTTGAGGCTCTGGCTTCCAGGAAGGTTGTGCAGGCAACTACCCTGCCCGCAGCCAGAGCAGTGGGGAGGTGAGCGGGGTGCCCTGCCCTGGGCCTGCGTGGGCTTCCCTCTTACCCTCTGCCCTTCTCCTTTTTTCTAGGGCTGAACCTATCAGAGCGTCCATCTTCCAGTACCCTGTGGGCTGGCCGCCAGTCCAGGAGCTGCCTCCCTCCCTGAGGGCACCCCCACCCGGGGGGTGGCCCCTGCAGCCCAGCGTTCAGTGGGGCTGAGCCCCTCGTCGGCCCTACCCCTGGCCCAACCTGGTCAGCTAACTTCACTCACAGTACCGATGAGGACTCGACCGAGAGGCCAAATCCCCCTCGCACTCTGCCCTGTGGAGCCCCTGAAACTGTCAGCCTGAATCGGGGCCCAGGAGTCCCCTGATCAGGTGCTGGCCTGGTCCCAGCTTCCTATCAGACAATTTTCCCTTCTTCTCTGTCCTTCCCTTATGGGACGTCTTGAGAAGATGAGTGAGAAAACTTCCTGTCAGGTGTTTGATAAAGAAAGTCTGTCACCACAGTGGTCTGGCTGTACCACCCTCTCCCTGGGGCCTCAGCTCCATGCTCAGAGGACCTGCAGGGCTGGAGTAGAATGAGGTCCTCTGTGGGTTGACCTGAAGCCCTTCTTCCTGGAGGGGCTGGCTGAAAAGTAGCTCCAGATCTGGCAGAGGGGCTCAGTTTGCCATTCCAGACCCCCACTGCCCATCTGAGCTGGTGTGAGGGCACAACTGGGTCAGGACGGAGCTGGGCCTCCAGCTTGGAGGGCGGAGGAGAGCGCCAGGGAGGACGAGTGCTGGGCCTGGAGAGGGGCCTGGCTGAGCTTCCTGGCACTGTAGCCATGGGCGGCACCAGCCCCTTGCCTTGGGGGTGGCACTGAGGCCCTCCCAAGGCTATGCCTAGAGGGGACCCCTGGCTGATGGGGAGATCACACAGGCTGCTGAGGTGATTCGGAACCTCCAGGCCCCACCTCACCTTCCACCCCAAGTCATTCTAGACTGTGCTAGGGTGGTAAAGGGTGATGTGGCCTTTGGGCCTCTGGTGGGGAAGGCAAGAGGGCGGGGAGGGTTCTTGGGTCACTCAGATGCCCCACCCTCTGTTTGCTTTTGCCCTTTCTGAAAATCTGTTGATGGGGGAGCTGAGGCCAAACCTGGGGTCTTCTGAGCCTCAGCCGCCTCATCAGTGTGGTGGGCTGACTGGCCTCTGTGGGCGAGTGAAACAAAGGGCCGGATTTAGGTCTGAGGGTCGGAGGGAGGGGCCAGGAGACCCCACCCTCATACCCACCGCTATCCTGCCATGGCCCTGGGCAGACATCAGGGGCCAGTCTGGTTAGCTCTGTGGCCTGGGCCCCGGGGTGAGCCTCCTGCCCGAGGTACCACAGCAGAGACTGGACCCTGGGGGTTCCTGTACAAATCCCCCCTTAATTTCTCAGGAGCCCCTGGACAGTGGGAAGAGTGAGTGCTACATACAGGCCAGGGTGGGGCACAGGCAGGGTGCAGGCGGGACTGGGGGCCGTCCTCAGAGCCACCACCAGGCCCTCCGCAGGCGGTCACAGCTCCATGCAAGGCCTGTGGGGCTGGTGGGGTGGGGTCGCAGGCCTCCAGGCCTGGAAGGACACGGGGCAGGGGCCCAGAGAGCCAGCTGAGGGAGAGGACTGCAGGCGGTGGGGGGTGTGGGGGGGCCCCATGCACCGCGTGCACCAGACTGGGCTCCCAGGCGGTGCCTACTTCATGCCGCTGCGCAGCACCTGGTTGGCTGCGATGAGCATGACGCTGATGATGAAGGCGATGGCAAAGGCGCAGATCAGACTCTTGCGCACACACGTCTGGCGGATCTGCTGGTTGGAGCAGGCTGTGGCCGCCGTCGGGGAGTGCCAGAGAGACAGAAGGGGACAACGAGACGATGGCATCAGGAGCCACCTGCACCCTGCACATGGGGCAAGCAAGGAGGTCCCCGGCGAGCCCCCCTCACCGCGCCCCTGGATCCCTCCCTGCCCGAGCAGTTGGCTTGCCCGGGGCTACTCACTCTCCACGTCCACGGGGCACTCCTCAGCCGTGCCCAGGTGACTCTCCTCCTCTGTCATGATGATGTTCTCAATGTCCTTCATGGACAGATGCTCGCAGAAGGTGTCATAGAGCAGCCGCTTCAGCTCGTCCACGGTCAGCTTCTGCATGTCGCACTTGGGCAGGGGGAGACAGTGCGCTGGTCACCACCAACAGAGCTCCAGCCAGCACCCTGGAGTCGCATTAGCCCGGCAACTCTGGGTTCGGGAGGGCTGGACACCCCTCCACCTGGAGCCCACCACAAGCACCAGCCTCTTCCCCCAGAGCGCCCAGACCCTCTGGAAGACGAGATGCCTAAAGTGGTCATCCCCCTTTATGACGGGTGGCCTGGCCATTTGCCCTAGGCGGCCTGGGTTCCCACCAGGGCATACCTTCCAGAAGACCGTGTCAAAGTCAGTGCCATGGAACTTCTCAGGGATTCCCGAGGTGGAGAGCTTGGGTCCCAGGAGGGTCACAAACTCCTCAAAGTCCACTTGGCCATCACCTACAGCAGACACTGGTCAGTACTCAAGGGGAGCTGCAGCTGGGCTGGGTTCTGACCCACCTTGGGCTCTGTGGGATCTTGGACACATCCCTGAGCCTCAAGTCAATTTTGGGGTGCCTAGCATGCGCCAGCTCCAGGCTGATGCTTCAGTCCCCAAGTGTCTTGCCTGACAGGGCGGAGGTGGGGTGCAGCCAGTGGGCCCGAGAAGTTGAGAGACCTTCACTTCCTACTGAGACCCCAGCACGGCACTGCGGTCCCAGGAGAGGGAGGCCAGCCCGTCTCGTAGCCCTGCAGACAGGGCGCAGACCTCAGGAGAGTGGTCAGCCTGGCCAGGCTACTGTCTGCCCTGTGGGTGAAGAGAATGACGGCGGCGTGGGGCATGCAAGGAAGGCACAGGGCACGACGGGACCTTCCTGTGAGCTTGTCCTTAATAAAACTCCAGAAAGCAGATGCAACTACACGTGTTTGGTTTTGTTTGAGAACTAGAGTAGTATGTTCTACTTTCCTGAACTTTAAATATTTCTCAGAATTTAGGGTGAGAGGAGAGTCTGACCACGGTGTGGAGCAGCCACACTCTGGCTGTGATTCTCCAGCCTGAGAAACGGGGCCAGACCTGGCTGCAGAGTGCTGTGGGCCTGGGTGGCTGCACTTGGGGGAATGAGAGCCCCGGGAGGGGCTGGACCCTCCTGCCCCCAGGGGGGGGATGAGGCAGCTGAGGCAGGGGCAGTGCTCACCATCCATGTCCAGCCGCTGGATAATAACCTCCAGCTCCACCTCATTGGGCATGTAACCCAGGGAGCGCATGGCGGTGCCCAGCTCCTGCTTGGAGATGAAGCCATTGCCGTCACGGTCAAAGACTTTGAAGGCCTCTCGGATCTCTGCGGGGGGAGCAGAGCAGGTGGGACATCACCACCCATCTCCCCAGACCTCCAGGATCCCAGAACCTTTAGTCTGGGTTGCAAATTCAGAGCCCGTGTCTGGTCAGACAATAGGTGGGTGACCCAAAGGTCCACCATGTGCTGCATTCTGGACCTCAGGCCAGACCTCGTGGGCAGTAATGGTATGCCCACACCACAGGCCTCCGGGTCTTGGGCTCGGCTTGCCCAGCTCCCGCAGCCTCTGCAGACATGCTCACGACGACCCCGTGTGGCCGGTGCCGTGAATCCCACCGTGCGGGGAGGACAGCGTGTGCCAGGCCAGGCAGCTGGTGGCCTGTGAACAGCGGAGGCTTCCTGCCCACGGCCTCTGCCCCCACCCCCTCGACGTCGTGCTTGCTGCGTGCCTTCAGCGCAGCCTGTTAACATGCCGGCACTCCCAATGACGCCCCCGTGGGGCAGCCGTGGCTGCTCCCGCTAGTGGACCTGGGCACACACTGCCTCCTAGAGCCCAAGCCCACTCAGATGAGAGACCCATCCCCTACTTACAGAGGAGGAGAATGAGGACCTGAGTAACTCAGGCGTGGGGAGGAACACACGGGAAACGGGCTAAGGAACCCAGTAAGTGACCTTGAACAGCCTCAGTCTGACAGTAAAATGGGTGGCCATGATGCAGGGGAGACAGGGTTTCACCAAGGGCTCCAGGAGCTACTGGAGACCCCAATCTCTCCCCGCTCACCTCTGTTCTCCCTCTGGCTCTCCACCCACTGCTCTTCACTTTTACTCAGCCCTCCAAGTTTCCTAAAGGGCACTTTCCTTTCGGGGGTAGGGAGCCTCAGCCACTCGCACCCTTCCCCGCTCCAGCTCCCTGGGGTAATTTGTTCAGTTCACCTGCCAGCCTCCTGATCTTTGTATAAGCTGTCCCGGGCGGAGCTTCAGCAGGCAGAGGTGACTCGTGTGCATGCCCAGGTGCATGTGTGCTGTCTCAAGACAGTAAGATAGTGCTCGCTGAAAACCTGGAGCCCAGGCCTGCAGAGGCCAGGAGGCTAGCCCGGGGTCAGGGCTGTTTCTGGTGGGAGCAGGAGAGAGGCTGGCCAGAGCCTGACCTTCGGGGTCTGTGAACCCTTAAAATAGAATGTAAGACCCTGCACCTTAGGGCTACTCCCTGATCCCACTAGTCCTGCCATAGATTAGATGCAGCCTGGAGAGGGTGTCAGGCTACACAGAAAATGGCTCCAAACTTTATCAGGCTCTCCCTGTCCTGTATAAAAGCCCACAGGTTAGACAGCTTGACATGCAGACTGAGACACGGGGTCACACCTGAATTGCCTGGGCCCTTGGACCTTCTGACTCTGGATCTTCACCCCCAGCCACACCACCTGCCACCCCCCAACCCCCCAACTCCAACCCAGCTGCTCAACGGCCTGAGCAGCTGGGTTGGGAAATCTGGACCAGGCTCGGGAGTTTCTGTAAACCATTCCCACTTGATTTGTCCTGGGCCACTGAGGACATGGTGAGCTCCCCATCCCCAGAAGTGCGTGACCAGAGGCTCACAGTCATGGAGCCTGGCAAGGGGGCACCCAGTCACCTGGGAGAGTCTGGGTAGAGATGAGGGCACTGACCCTGCAAGCAGGCACAGCTACTGCACGCCCCCCCCCACCCCACATATGCACTTAGGTTTCTGGCTGGTGCTGTTGCCCCTGAGCCAGTCACAGGCTCTGCCCACCTCCAGTGTCCTGGACTCCAGCCCTCCATCCAGCCTCCCGTGCCGCCTCCGGGTCTTGGAACACGCAGCTCCTTTTGCCAGGAATGCTTTCTCCCTTACCGTCGGCACTGATGATCCCTCCCAGATGGCATCACCTCCCTGGCACCTCCCTGGCACCTGTCTGCCCCCTAACTGACTCTGGCCCTCCTTGAGTTCCCACAGACCCCATCCTTCCCTGTCCCAGCACTGACCGCACTGGACATGAATCACAAGTACATGAGAGCAGGGGCCAGGTTTGGTGTCGCACGGCGGGGCCCTGTTACCTGGGACAGCGTGTCGTTCGGTAAACACTTGCCAAACGCACAATTAAATGAATGAGTGAAGGACATGGGGAACACACAGAGGAGCTGAGCAGAGGTTTATGAGCTACTTGGTATGCGGTGACCACTCGGAGCCATTTATTCTCAGTTTATAAACAGTTTTTATAAGGAAAGGTAAGCATTTGCTTTCCACTCCCCAAGTAGGCAAGAAGCATGAAGAGAGACTGAGGACGCTGTTCGTCTGCGTCCAGACCTCTTGCCCCATGCCCACCAGGGGACCCGAGGGAGATCCCGCACCCCATCCCTCTGGGTCCTCTGCCTCCACTGTAGAGGCCCATTTGGAAGCTCTGAGAGGGGCTATAAAGCCCTGAACACAATGGGACTGCAATGGGACTCCCTCCCGCCCTGCCGTGAGCGGGGGTCATCGCTCCTGCTCTGGAAGGAGCTAGTGGCAGCATCCAGGGCTGCTTTATTGGGGCCCCTGACTCCCTTCTGGAAGCCCCAAGAAAACACACTGAGCTGGGCTGTGGGGGGCAGGTGCATTTCAGGCTGTGTGGGTAGGCAGCAAACCACAGCCATTTCCAAGGCAAGACTCACCTCCCCGGAGCACTAGATAAACCCAAAGACTGTCACCTCCATGTTTGGGCCCCTTCAGCCACTGCTCCATAGATGGGGCACTCAGCTCAAACCTCAACTTAATCTGTGACTTTCCTGACACTGAGACCCCCTACCCAGCCCCTGCTGACTCCTGAGATCAAGTTCAGGGACTACCTTCTTGGCCACAGAGGCAGTTCTCACACACACAGACCCAGGGTCAAATCCCAGCTCTCCCCCAGCCTGGCTGGAGGCCTCAGGTCAGTGATTGCTCATTTATACAATGGGCTGCTGGGATGACAAAATAAGAAGAGCAAGCACAGAAGCGTGCAACTGGGCCAGGCCTGCCCAGAGTAGGACAATGTAAATCAGAAAGTCCTGGGTGGTAGAGTCAGAAGAGGAAGCTCTGGCTTCAGGACACCAGGCCAGGCTTCCTGAGCTGGCGGCTGGACTGGGGACCTGGGCTAGAATCTGGCTGTGCTGTTCCACGGCTGTGGCCTGAGCCCTCTGAGCCTCGATTGCCTCACCTGTGAAATGGGGATGTGATTCTTCCCCCTCCTGAGGCCTGACCTCTGCAGAAGTTTCCCTGGAAGGGGGTTGCATGACATCCCCGTTGCTGCTACTGCTGTCAGCAGATCCCAGTTGGGCACATTTCCCCGAAAGCCTCCCTCGATTCCCACCCGTGAAGCGGGGGGAGCCTGCTGCGTTCCATCTTGGCATGGGGATGCCTGGCCTGGAACAGGGCTGGCATGGCGTCAGGGTTTCCAGGCCGCCACTGTCTCCCCACCTACTGCCTCAGGCTGGCACCCCCAGTCTTCATCCCAACCCATGCAGCTGTGTTGAGGCCTGAGTTCCCAACAGCCCCCAAGGAACACTGAGGAAGCCAGAGTCCAGAGTGGTCTTGCACAGGCTGGAGGTCACTGGGGCCGGGCAGCATCTGTCCTCTGCAGAGGTGGCCACTCTCCGAGGCATTGGCCCTGAGCCCCGCCACCCTGAGCTTCTGGCCTGAGTAGAAGTGGCTAGCTTTGTAGGGGAGAAGGGCAGTAAAGGGGACTCTGCCCCCAACGGCCCCCATTTGGCTACTCTCAACGCAGATTTCACTGACTGCCTACCCCGGAAGCTGTTTGTCTGCCTGTCTCCTTCCTCTGGACAGAGAGTGCTGAGCTGGAGCTGAAGCAACCCCTTTCTCGCCCCCAGGTGCTCAAATCCATGGAAGCCACTGGGACCAGTTCAGAGTTCCCACAGAAGCTGGAGGTCTCTACCGTGTCTGTCAAGGAGGCAGTACAGGGACAACCTAGGACACCCCCACCTCACCTTCATATGGGGACTAGGTAGACCCCAAGCCAGCTCTTCCTGGCCATGTCTACCTGCCGGCTGCCACCCAGGCAGGGCCACAGTTTCCTCTGCCAGGCGTTCAGCCCTCTCCCAAGCCCTATTCCCAGCCTGCCTTTCTGGGCCAGCCTCCTCCACACCCAGCCAGCACACCAGCCTTCACCCATCCCTTCACACTCCAGGCTCCCGCCCCTCAAAGGCCCCTTGTTTTCCCTCTGCCGCATCTGGGTTCCCCAGCCCCCGCGTGTGTCAGGCCCCTTCACACTTCATACTTCCAGGGCATCCTCGATCGCCGATCACCAGCACCCCTGGGGAGGCACAAGCCACCCTCCTTTTAGAGTTGGGGAAACCAAGGCAAGAGAAACAAGTTATTGCCAAGGTCACATGAATCAAGGATGCAAAGACTTGAACCCAGCGCTGGCCACCTAGGAAGCCCTTAGCCTAAACCAAATTCTCCATCGCCTCCTAGTTCTCCTCCCTCTCCAGTGAGCTGCCCCCTGGGTTATGCAGACTGCAGCTTTCAGCCCAAGCCCCCCACTCCCTCTCCTCAGGAATGTGGTTCCCCATTGGTGGGCATCCCCCCAGCGGAGGGTCATGCCACTCTGGGGCATGATAACTGATGGGGCATGGGTCACGGGGCAGGAGGGGGTCTGCGCCGGGTTGGTCACCCCTTCCACTGGTCCTGGCACTCAAGGACTTAGTCTCTGAAGAGACGGGCTTCTAGGCTGCCCCGGGCACAGTCAACCAAGACGGGGGTTGGTCACGGAGGACTTCTTGCCCTCTTCCATGCCTCCTGTTCCAGGGTGGGCCCTGCCCTTCAGATGCCCCTGTGCAGGGCCTCTCGGCTTCTCAGCACCCAGATGAAGGGGACGGGAGAGAAGCAGGGAGTGCAGTTGTGTGGCTGTGACTAACGCTGCTGGGCTCCTGCCAGAGTGTCCGCTGGGCACTGGGCAGCCCAAGGGGAGCCTGCAGCCTCCTTGCCCCTGCACTGCCTGTCTCCTGTCCTGCTCACCCCTGCACCCCAGCCTTCTCCCTTCTGGAGGGTCTGCACT